AGAGATGCACTCTGTCTTCAAATGCCTGTGGAAGTATGGCTATTGGCTATCCCAGAAATATTATATCTTCTTTTTTTCCCTTCAGATGTGGGTTTATTTTAATGTCCCTTAGTCAAGCTGAATCATCCCACATAGTTACAGCACCTTTCTCTCCCTGTTCATCTTTTCTCTTTATCTGTTGCTTTTGTGTTTGTTTCATGAAGTAACTGCCATGTTTCTATAAACAGAGAACTGATTTTTTTAATTGAACAGTGCACAAAGGTTAATTAAAACTTTTTCTTTTTCCTTCCATGCTGCACAGTTTGCAGGATCTTAGATCCCCAGCCAGGGATTGAACACAGACCTGTGTCAGTGAAAGCACGGCATCCTAACCACTGGACCACCAGGGAATTCCCTACTTAAAACTTTATCAGTATACCAGTCTTTAGTAAAATACAACCAAAATAAGAATTTCAGATCTTTGGACTCTTATGTTTCTGTTACTATTTCCAAGGAATCATCAAAGGTCACCCAAAAACACAGGAGGCTCTATTTCTAAGTTCAGGAACTTCTTTACTTACAGAAGGTCCCTGACATTACCAAATTTCATTTCAGGATCTTAACATATCAATATAAATATAGTCACAGTCAAGATATCAACATAGTCATAACTAAAAACATCCAAAATTTTATCTATATCTTAAAAAAGTTTTGAGAATCCTTCCCCAAAAGCAAATAATTGTGCCTCTATATTAGAAGTTAGTAAACCTTTTCTGCAAAGGACTTAGCTTTTGTGGGCCGTACAACCTGTCACAATGACTCAACTCTTCCACTGTAGTACAAAAAAGCCATATATAATATGTAGAGGGACAATAAGGCTATGCTCCAATAAAACTTTATTTACAAAGACAAGCAAGGCTTTTCATCATACACCCAAAGACTGGGCTTTGTCATGGCATGCCTTTGATAGGCTTGGCATTTTGGTTTAAAAAGTAGCAACTACCTTAAGGGCTTCCCTGGTGGCTCAGTGGTAAAAGAATCCACCTGCCAATGCAGGAGACAATGGCTGGACCACTGGCTCGGGAAGATCCCCCGGAGAAGGAAATGGCAACCACTCTAGTATTCTTGCCTAGGAAATCCCATGTGACAGAGGAGCCTGGCGGGCTACAGTCCATGGGTTCACAAGAATCGGACATGACTGAGCAACTAAACAACAGCAACCTCCTTAAATCATGTTACTGCTACTGCTGCCAGAGGCCACTGCCCATGGTGCTGAGATTTTAAAGTATATCCTAAGGAAATCAAGCTCTGAAAGCATCAATCGAATGAAAGAGGGACCAAGACTTCTCCCCTGGAATCTCCAGACCCTAGTCCCTTTACTGTTAAGACTGATTGTCCTCAACCAGTCCTTCACGAACACCCTCACCCCTAATTCCGATGTTGCATCCACACCTGGATCAACGCTACAATGGCACCCCTATTTGTTCTTTAACAGACCTGCCTGGTGCTATAAGATAAATATCCAAGAAGGAGGAGCCCCGGCAATCCATCTCCGGCCAGGCTGATCCTCTCCCTCAGATCCCACAGCCACTGCTCCAGGTCTGCCTCACTCTCCTTAAGCCCAAGCTCACCAAAAAGCCTTCAAATTCAATTTTTAGAAAAACAAAGAGAGGGATAGACAAATTATTAAGTGCAATCTTATCCTCCAATTTACCTAGCTTCTGTCCCATTCTTCTCTCCCCTCCCCCTACCTGTCTTGAACTTGCTCATCTAGGACAAGCTCATCTCTCCGACAAAAAAAAAAAAATCTTCCTTCTACACCAAGCTACTCGAAGTGCCTCTCTGGGCTCCCTGGAACCCCACACCTGCCCCCCAAGTCTGTGAATTACCTGCGAACTAGGATCCTTACTCACCTTTGCACACTGCACAAACTGTTTATCTTACCTTCCCCACACCCTCTCTAGGAACTCCTACTGCCACCAACAGAAGGTTATGAATTTTGAATCCTTCTTTTAACATTAAAGGGAATAGCCATAACTACAAATCAGGCAGGAAAATGAACTAAAATTTGATGACTATAATCCCTTTCAAAATAATGCCAGGAACCATAACAAACCAACATCCAATACAATTTAAATATTGAAGTGAGCAGTTAAACAATGCAAAGATACAATAGGAAAGAGCAAAACACACAAGCTTTTTCCAATGCACATTCATTGCAATGACTTCAAATGTTCCTGACACAAGTTATTATTACACTCACTCTTCATTACTCTCTTTAATGCACTCTTTCTCTTGTTGCTCTCCATCTACCTCAAGGGGGCAAATACAAGTTACTTTTCATTTGCTTGAATTTAGTTGTCTTGTGTGTGATTGGTTTTGTTTACCAGTGCCAGTTCACAACATCTCTCATGTCTTTCTTTATGCTACAAAAGCACTGAAAATGTCAGCTCAGTTCTGGAGTTACTAAATGCCCCTACAGAAATTCCATAAAACAGTATGCCTTGTAGGTCCTACCAAAATGACAGATTTCTGGCTCCAAAACTTGTAAATAATGAGGGTGCTTTAAAAACTGCATGTTTACAAACCAGTGAATTTTGTTCATCAAATTTTAATAACTAAAGTTACTCAAATCTGAAGTCTAAAGTCAATGTTCCCTTGAAGCAATGCCATTGTGTAACTGGTTTTCAAACACAAGCAGTAAATTAATAAGCACTACAAAACCAAGCCCATCAGCCTCATCTGTGCTATCAACAATTATATTATTTTACTATCAAATATGAAAAGCTAGTTCAGGGCAGCTTTATGTCAACTGTTCTGAAAATCATACACTGTTTCTACTCCTTGATTATATTTGCAAAAAAGGAACAAAGAGCTCAATGATCCTGAGGTGTGGTTAGAAAAAAATATTGACTAAGTTTTATTTTTGAGCCTTAAGACACGCAACCTCTCAGCCCAAAATCCAGATGATTCCTCAACTGTCTTCCTTTCAGAAACCTGAAAACTTGCCAGGATACCATAGGGAAGAAACCACAGAGAAGACACAAAATAAACCATGAGCTCAGGGGACATTCGTAGGTGACACAGACCTAGCTTTACACATTTCCACAACTGTGAGACTGACTCTACATAATTACTTCCTTAAAACTGGTGTGGAGAATAAGAGCACCTGGCAGCTTACCAGCCTTGTAACTTTGAGAAAACATTTAACTTTTCTGGGCCTCAACTGAAAATACCAACAGTATTTGCCTGGCCTCACCCATTTCAAGATGCCATCTTCTGTGAGGAAGATTTAGTACTAGTGGCACCCATTTTCCTAAATGTAAGTAACCAAAACATGCAAACTTAAAAGAGATTTGTCATTACTAAAGAATAAATCAATAAGAATATACTTGGAGTACAAATGAATCATTTTGCTCTACTGTAGAATTTAACACAACATTGTAAATCAAATACACTTCAAGTTTTTAAAAGGAGGGAAAAAGAATATACTCGGAATTGAAATACCAAAAAACACAGCAAAGACTTAATATAAGGTACAATCTGAAATCGCTGGAGCTAGAATACACTGAAATGATCCTCTGGAGAGCAATACTGAAAATGCTTCTAAAGCAAAGCCTTTGAGGTGGGGAAACACAAACACACACGCAAGTATATATATATACTAACATAAAAGGCCAAAAGGAAATCATAGAGGTTATGTTTGTTTGGTAAGCTTTTAAGTAACCTTTTCTTCATATTTTTCTCTATTTTTAAAGTTTTCTATATAAGTATGTACTAACTTAACAATAAATTCTCAATATGGAGGTTACTTACACTGGTGAAAATCCAACTAATAATAGCCTCCAACTAATAATAATAAATGGAAAATAAAATAAAATTCTGCTAAAAAAATAAATAAATAAAGGGAAATTCTTCACTGGATCCTTCATATGGGGGGAAAAAGCAATTTATAAAGAACATTACTGGGAAACTTAGGGATCTATGAAAATAGTCTCTATATTAGATACTATTATATAAATGTTGAAAGTCGCTCAGTCGTATCTGACTCTTTTTGCAACCCCATAGACTCTATAGTCCCTGGAATTCTCCAGGCCAGAATACTGGAGTGAGTGGCCTTTCCCTTCTCCAGGGGATCTTCCCAACCCAGGGATCGAACCCAGGTCTCCCGCAATGCAGGCAGATTCTTACCAGCTAAGCCACAAGGGAAGCCCAATATAAATCTTAAATTGCCTCATAACTGAAAGATTCATGCTGAAATAATTAAGGGTGAACTGTCATGTTTGTAACTCACTTCCAAATGTTACAGCAGAGGGACAGAGAGACAGAGACAAAGACAGAATGACAGAGAAACAAAAAGCAAATGCAGCAAAATTAACAACTCGTGAATCCACGTGAAGGCATCCAGTGTGCACTGCATTACTTCAACTTTTTGGTAGGCAAGAAATTTTTCAAACTAAAACAAGGGAAAATGTAAAACAGGTTTCAAAAGGAAAAAAATTTAATAGGATTTTAAGTATTGGGGGAGGCAAGAAGGATATTATATCAAGCAGATTACATTCTCATGAAAAATAACTGGAAAGACTGCAAGGTGTATTTAAAAAAAAAACTCCTCACAATTTGGGAGTGGTAAAAAAAAAGAGAATATAAGCATGTTACAGGAAGAATACATATTAATACTACTTTTTTCTTAAGGTGGTACTATTATGAATAATATTTCCTGTTTTCCAAGTATTTTTATAATGTGCTTTTGCTTTTAAAAATTTTGAGTGTAATTTAAAGACTAGCCAGATAACTACATACTGTTGAACAGTCTCAGCTATTTGTACAATTAGCTGGTATCAATTTAAAAACCAGCAGCAGGAGCAATCATACTGATGTGTCTTTATTTCCCCTTGTCCTATGAGGAGTTATGGGTCACACAAAGCACAACAAATAACTGCTTCTCAACCACCTAAAATGGTAACGGAAACAGTAACATGAAATGATACCTTATAAAACCCACTATAATAGAAATATACCTCATCATATATGCTCCCATTAATGTCTGCACCATAAATCGGTGCCACGAAGGTTAAGTTCTTCCAGTACTTGCGCTCCAAATCTTCATAGTCCAAGTATCTCGGGGCACAGTACCTGGGAAAGGGAGAGGGGACAAAGCCCACACAGTAAAGGCGATGTTAAGACTTCCCCTACCCACCACCTTCTAAACACAATTCCATCCAAATGAAAATACTGCATCCTCATGCTGTCAAACCTAACAAGTAAATACGTAAATGTATTATCATAGATCTCTCAAGACTCTCCTAAATAACTCTATATGAAAACTTCATTTCTTGACTAAGAAACATACTTCCATGAAAGTACCAACAACAGAAGCAAAAAATTCGTTAAAACTCATTATTTTATCTTTCAAAACATTTTCTAAACTCTTTAACCAATTATACTAGAACAATTTAAAATGTATGAAGTAGAGATTCCACTAAAATTTAGTGTAAATGAAATAAGCTATTTAATACTTTAAGGATGACTCAGGAAAGAAAAATTAGGGGGAAAAAAAAAAAGAATGACTCTGGAAATGGGCACTAGAAGATGGAGAACAGAATACAATAAACAGTTTATAAGAAATTGGATAAAATTGCTTCTGCAATCTTGTTTTGGCACTGAACTTTTTATTAGAGTTCTTATAGAGTATGAAAGCAAACCAATCCAATCTATGATTAAAGTTTTACATTCTCAAATGAGATCTGAAACAATGAGGTTTTACCAATGCCTAACAAAAAAACAAACAAAAAAAAAAACTCGAGAAACTTGAATTAACTATCAAATGTTTAATTCCTTTGGAATAGCAATTATGCTCCATAACAGGAACTTCGTATAGAATAAAAGATTCTTCAACTACCATCGAGTGCTTACTATGTCAAATACAGTGGGTTTTTTTTTTTTAAGATCATTCAGAGGACTCAATCTCATGCATACCCATCCAGGGAATTTTAGACAATGATGTTTTTAGGTTGGATAGTTGATTGGTTTGGTGGGAAAGGGGTGTTTCTAGATTAATGTCTTGATCTAAGACTTTAATGACTATATAAAAAAATTTTTTAAAGGTAGTTTAATAATAATAACTGTGACAGTTTCTAAATATATCCACAAATTCTTTGATACATCTCCCTTCAAGATATACAGCTTAATTATCCTCCCCTTAAGAATGGGCTGCACTTGGCATATAACAAATAGAACATGGCAGAAATGATAGTCAAGAAACAGGTAATGAAAAGACAGTTTGTTTTCCATCTTGGTAACTTCTGGATCACTTGCTTCTGAAGAAGCTAGATGCCACACAACACAAGGAATAGCTCTTGCAGCAAGGAACTCAGGACTCCAGCCAACAGCCACAGAAGGGGAGCAATCTTGGAACAAAATCCTCCAGACACAATCAAGTCTTCAGGTGACAGCAGCTCCACCCAACTTGACTATAACTTTATGCAAGGTCCTGAGCCACAGCCACCCGGCTAAGCCAATCTTAGCCTCCTGACCTTTAGAAACTGAGATGTTAAATGTTTATTGATCTAAGATACTAAAGTTTGGGGTCATTCATTACAAAGTAACAGGTGACTAATGTGACAGGTGACAATAATGGGGGTCATTCAAGTCATTCAAGGATTTTCCTTTCTTTTCTTTTCTTTTTTTTTTTACTATTTATTTCATTTATTTATTTCGCTGTGCCCAGCCTTAGTTACAGCATGTAGGATCTATTTCCCTGACTTGGGATTGAACCCGGGCCACAGTCTTAGCCATTGGACCACTAGGAAAATCCCCAGGGATTTTCTTTTTAAATTATTCTTCTAATATCTGTAACTTATCATTTAAGATTTAAACATTACCACACACAGAAGAAATTGCCTAACAAAGAGGAGTCAAGCGTAGAAACAAAAATTCAAAGTAAAAGACAGGGACAAAAATCCACTTACAGATACTATGAATGAGATGATAAAATGAGGAACAATTTTTCTAGAAGGCAGACAACCACCTAAAAAGCAGAAACAGTTAAATGGGAAACGAAATAAACTCTGTAGAAGGCTCCCGCTCTTCACAAGCTTCCATCTCCTTGGAAGCTTCCATCTCCTTCCATACTCACCTACATCTTCGAAAGAAATAAAAATAGCACACTGAATCTACTCACTTGCCACTGTTGGCCAGCTGCCTGAACTCCTTCACTGTCATGGCTTTTTTCTGGATGTTGTATTGAGTGAACAGTCCAGACTGCCCTGTGACCATCTGCTGAATCGGAGCTGGAATAAGCAAGTTGTCAATGTCATCATAGCACTGCCTTGGCTTCCACTCCTTAGGGGGAATCACCTAAAAGTAAAATAATAAAATATTATTTGGAAAACATTCCACATTGTTATTTAGCTCTCAAGTTCCAGCAGAATACAAGTAAAGAATTTCTCATCTTTTCTATGACAAATGTGTAAAAGAACTGTGGAGATTTACATTAAAGGAAATGATTTCATTCTCCCAAACATTTACCTCATGACATGACATTTTTAAACAAAATTTACTGAGTACTCACTATACCAAATACTGAACTTGCATTAATTAACTTATTATTACTTGATACAGTTAACCTCTCTATTTTCAAGGTAAAATGGAGAGATACACAGAAATAAAATAACTTGCTAAAGTTCAAATGCTGTCTATATTATCATGAGAAAAATAAGTACTGTGCTTAGTAGTTCAGCTGGTAAAGAATCCGCCTGCAATGTAGGAGACCCCAGTTCGGTTCCTGGGTCAGGAAGATCCCCTGAAGAAGGGATAGGTCACCCACTCCAATATTCTTCAGCTTCCCTGGTGACTCCGCTGGTAAAGAATCTGCCTGCAGTGCAAGAGACCTGGGTTTGATCCCTGGGTTGGGAAGATCGCCTGGAGGAGGGCACAGCAACCCACTCCAGTATTCTTGTCTGGAGAATCCCCATGGACAGAGGAGCCTGGCAGGCTAGAGTCCATGGAGTCGCAAAAAGTCACAACTGAGTGACTAAGCACAGCACAGTAGCAGCGTTTAGTCAATATCATTTCTTTAAATACCTCTCATACAATATAGCAAATGAAGAGTGGTGAGCTAGTAAATGTTTAACAACTAACTTTCTGGGGAGGTGGGGGAAACCCTGATTCGTAGCTTTGGCCTATTCTTTTAAAAATTTAATTGCAAAATACAGATAGCACACATGCAGAAAATGCACAATCACAAATATGTATCTCTGTGAGTTATTATAAAGCAAACACCAGAGTACCCACTGTTACATGTAAGAAATAGGATATTGCTTGTACCCAGAGGTCCTGGTACCTTTTTCTACACACATCCCCCTATTGCTCACAAAGTATTCACTATCATGGCACTTATGGTATTCATTTCCTTGCTGGGTTTTATAGTTTTATGTCTGTGTATCCAACCCTAACAACAGTTTTTTAAATGCACAGAAATGTAAGCATGCATATATAAATATATATGTGTGTGTGTGTGTGTATACACACATACTCCTTATCTTTTCTATTTTACTCGATATTTTTGTGAGATTCAAACACAATGACCTAGGCTGCTGAAGTTTGTTCGTTTTCGTTCCTACTTAATATGCCTTTGTATGAATATTTACGTTAAAAGATGACTATTTCGTGATCACTTTTTTCTAATTATCGGCAACTGTAAACAACACTGCTATTAATATAGATGTATGCATCTTCTGCAGCATGTGAGCACACAGTTCTCTAAATATACACCCATGCAGAGATCCTAACAGTGAAATTGCTATGACACAGGATACGCACAGATCAAATTCAATCATTATTACCAAACTTTTGCCAAAGTGGTTGTACCATTTCATAGTCCCACCAGCAATGTGTGAAAGTCCCTATTGCTCCACATCTTCATCATCACTTTGTAGTGCTGATCTGGTAGATGTGTAATGGTACTCAAGTAGGTATTCGATTAGCATTTTCTGATAACTAAAGAAATCTCTTCATATATTCATTGACCCTATAGATATCCTTTCTCAAAAAGTATTTATTTAAGCCTCTTGCCAATTTTACTATTGCATTGTCAGCCTTTTTTTATTAATGTATAGAATTCTGCATAGAGTCTGGTTATTCTTGCGTGTGTACATTTCCAAGTATATATATATATGTGTGTGTGTGTGTGTGTGTGTGTGTATAAACATCAAATATCTTTTCTTACCCTGAAACTTCCCCTTCAATCTCCTTAACTGTTCAGTTCAGTTTAGTCGCTCAGTTGTGTCCAACTCTGCGACTCCATGGATCACAGCACGCCAGGCCTCCCTCTCCATCACCAACTGCCGGAGTTTACTCAAACTCATGTCCATTGAATCGGTGATGCCATCCAGCCATCTCAAGCTCTGTCATTCCCTTCTCCTCCTGCCTTCAATCTTTCCCAGCATCAGGGTCTTTTCCAGTGACTCAATTCTTCTTATCAGGAGGCCAAAGTATTGGAGTTTCAGTTTCACCATCAGTCCTTCCAATGAATATTCAGGAATGATTTCCTTTAGGATGGACTGGTTGGATCTCCTTGCAGTCCAAGGGACTCTCGGGAGTCTTCTACTGCACCACAGTTCGAAAGCATCAATTCTTCAGCGCTCTTCTTTCTTTACAGTCCAATTCTCACATCCATACATGACTACTGGAAAAACCATAGCCTTGACTAGATGGACCTTTGTTGGTAAAGTAATGCCTCTGCTTTTTAATATGCTGTCTAGGTTTGTCATAACTTTTCTTCCCAGGAGCAAGTGTTTTTTAATTTCATGGCTGCAGTCACCATTTTCAGTGATTTTGGAGCCCAAGAAAATAAAGTCTGTCACTGCTTCCACTGTTTACCCATCTATTTGCCAAGAAGAGATGGGACCAGATGCCATGATATTAGTTTTCTGAATGTTGAGTTTTAAGCCAACTTTTTTACTCTCCTCTTTCACCTTCATCAAGAGGCTCTTTAGTTCTTTAGTTTAGTTCTCCTTAACTGTATCTTTTGATAAATATAAGTTCTTCATTTTAATATGGGCTTCCCTGATAGCTCAGTTGGTAAAGAATCCGCCTGCAATGCAGGAGATCCTGGTTCGATTTCTGGGTCGGGAAGATCCACTGGAGAAGTTAGGCTGCCCACACTAGAATTCTTGGGCTTCCCTTGTGGCTCAGCTGGTTAAGAATCCGCCTGCAATGTGGGAGACCTGGGTTCAATCCCTGGGTTGGGAAGATTCCCCTGGAGAAGGGAAAGGCTACCCACTCCAATATTCTGGCCTGAAGAATTCCATGGTCTGTATAGTCCATGGGATCACAAAGAATCATACATTTTAATATAATCCAATTTCTTCATTTTTGCCTTGATCTTCTGTTTAAAAAAATATAATTCCCTACTTGAGAGAATGCATACATTCTATTTTGTGTTCTAAGAGCTTTAAGATTTTGTCTTTCACATTGATATCTACACTGCATCTGTGACTGACTTTTGTGAAAGGTTCTGAGTTAGGCTTCATCAGATAAGAAAACCTGGAGTCAGGGAATGTGTGACTTGGCCAATGTTACACAATCAATAAATGGCTTGTTGTTGTTATTGTTCAGTCACTAAGTCAGGTCCGACTCTCTGCGATCCCATGAAGTGAAGCATGCTAGTTTTCTCTGTCCAACACTACCTCCCTGAGTTTGCTAAAACTCATATCCATTGAGTCAGTGATGCCATCCAACAATCTCAAGCTCTGTCGCCCTTCTCCTCTTGCCCTCAATTTTTCCCAGCATCAGGGTCTTTTCCAATGAGTCAGCTATTCACATCAGGTGGCCAAAGTATTGGAGTTTCAGTTTCACCATCAGTCCTTCCAATGAATATTCAGGACTGATCTCCTTTAGGATAGACTCGTTGGATTGCCTTGCAGTCCAAAGGACTCTCAGGAGTCTTCTATAGCACCACAGTTCGAAAGCATCAGTTCTTCATTGCTCAGCCTTCTTTGTGGTCCAACTCTCACATCCATACTTGACTACTGGAAAAACCACAGCTTTGACTATATGGACCTTTGTCTGTAAAGTGATGCCTCTGCTTTTTAATACACTGTCTAGGTTTGTCATAGCTATTCATCCAAAAAGCAAGTGTCTTTTTAATTTCGTGGCTGCAGCCACCGTACACATTGATTTTGGAGCCCAAGAAAATGAAATCGGACACTGTTTCCACATTTTCCCCATCTACTTGCCATGAAGGGATAAGACTGTGTGCCATGACCTTAGTTTTCTGAATGTTGAGCTTTAAGCCAGCTTTTTCACTCTCCTCTTTTATCTTCATCAAGAGGCCCTTTAGCTCCTCTTCACTTTCTGCCAATAAATGAATATTAACTCAAAAAAGAGATGGGGCGATCTTTAAACTCTAAATTTAATTTTCATCAGCAATAAGGTAATATTACACACTTGATTTTTCTCTAAGATATGTTGGTTTAAAATGAACCCAGAGACAACCACACTTTACGCTACTGAGAACACATACTCAATATTTTAAGTGTGGACAACCATACCAAATGGATAAATATACTTACACTGTCTTGATCATATTCTGAAAGGGCAAAGGATAGTAATGAAGAATTTTATAAACACTTTTTCTTCATCAGAAATGAATGTGGTTATTCAAAAAAATAAAACACAGATTTATTCAGGCTCCTGCTTAGAAATATATCTACAATCAAAATCAACATTATGTTTAGAGTTAAATATTTTCCAGAATTGTGAAAAACAGGCAGTTGTTCATCCCAAAAACATTTTGTAGCAAATTTTCTTCTCTAAAGTTAAATAACACAATACATTTACAAAAATCTAAATATTATCTTCACAATTATTCTGAGCTTGTATTCATTTACTCTGATTAAAGTTTAAAGTGTTCAGACAGAACTTTAAAAATCTGTAAGTTCAGGCCTATGACAAAAATTTTATTTTTCAACTATAATTTTAAATCTTAACACACTGTATTTTCTCACATAGGAAATGGAAGCACAATATATAATATTTAGGACTTTAAAATACTCAAAAGTTAAACTTTTACTTGTAAGGACTCTAAAGGAAGGAAACCCATTTCTCCTGAAGTTTACCTTCCTGATTATATCAAAATAGAAATATATGTTTTACATTAATATTTCCCCAACCCCAGCTTAGGCCCTATACAAGTAAAAATTACCTAACTGAAATCTGTATTTGCATTACTGATCTTGAACTATGTTGCCATTACTACCACCGACCAACTGGGAAAGGAGGGTGAGGAGGAAGGGCAGGGCTGCTCCCATCTTTCCTCACCTCTGGACACAGACAGCTACCTCCCACCTCTATGCTACTCTGGAAGCCTGCTCTGTACTCTAGAGGATAACCTCAGGCCCAGGACAGAGTATGTCCGTACTACTGCTCTGGAAGCACTGGTCATTCCTCATGTAATAATGTTTCATTATAACCTTTCTCCACAAAAAAAGTACAAGTTTTACATTTAAGGACACTGTCACTTTTTCACTTTCCCAATTAGACCAACAAATCTAGGTACAAAGTCAGGGTGTCAAACCTCTCACTCTTGGTGGGGAAAAAACATTAAATCTAAAGTATAAATCTAAAAACTGTTACCAATCAAGGCAGACTGTAATCTGAGGCCAAAGTCACTACTCAACCACTTTCTTCAAACCAATCAAATTGATCTTAATCAAAAATTAAGACCAATTCGTTAAATGATGCATTAACGAAGAATTTCACAGATGGCTCTGTTCCCCAGGGCTAGCCCTCAAAACAAATAGCAACATTGCAGTTTTAATGTATAAAATTTTATTTTATTTGGTGCAGTTTTATACATTTGCTACTGCTGCAACTTCCAGAAAAAGAAGGATGAAATTGAAGTGAAAAAAGTAGGTGAAACTGAGTCTTTGTAATCTGATGTAAAAGATGGCGAAAGTGACTAAAAAAATAGTTCATTGTATTCCTAGTAAAAGTAAAGGGAAATTACTGAATATCAAATCACTATCTCCATCTCTGTCAATGAATCTCACTTGATAAAAAGAGAATCTGGACTCAGGTTGGTGTCTGGTTCAACACTCAGAAAATTAACTGCAGTTCTCATTAACCCCACTCTGTCAGAGAATGTCCACAGGGGCACAGGCGTTCTCTCTGTACTCCAGCTCCCTCATGGGGGTAGCTGCCAATTTCTCTTCTAAGGTTACTAAACGTGCCCCTGGCCATGGGATGGTCACTAATCCGAGGGAACACAGTAAGGTACACATTTTCAGGGAACAAAGAGGGAGAGCTACAGGACAAAGGGCTGGATTCAGAGCCCCGAGAAGAGGAGAGCCAGCCCAACTCCCCGCTGCCCAAATAAAGCCCAAGCTGGTTCATTTTATGTTTATCATCAAAATTTTGTGTGTCAAATGATTCTGAAATACCATTCTCTTCTCTTCAACTTAAACATGCTTTTTTTCTCCTCAAAGAGAACCTGGAAGTGCTAAGGTTCCAAAAATGGGATCTTTGAGAGCTAACCTAATGAAAAGATTAAACTAAGGATAGCATATCTGAGAAATTCACTATAAACTTTTATCTTCTTTTTGTCTCTCTCACCCACCCCTAATCCACTCAGCTTAATATCCAGGAATTTTAAACTTTATCCAGCAGTGACTTGAACTACACAGAAAAAAAATAACAGACTGCAAGGCACAGATGGCAGCACAGTCCAACATTACAAACAGCTGCATCCAGATACAGGAGGAAGACGAACAGCGAGCCCCGCAAGCCTGGAGGTCCGTTCTGCAGCTCGTCTCAGCGCTCCTGGACCACCATGGAGATGGGGCTGCAGGAGAACCCGTGATGAGCCGCAGCAGGGAAGGCTCTGCTGGGGCTCAGGAATCTATGTGGCGATGGCGACAAGTCCTCAGAAGTCTGTGTTATAAACTTAACGTTTAGAACAACAATCAAATTAAGCAAGTACCAAAAAGATCTCTTCTTCCAAAGACGATTTTAAATTGAAACAGATTTCCATCACAGAAAGATACACTAATCTCAGGTTAAGGCCAAACCTAAACAGCCTCTTTCAAAGCTCTAACTCTGCGGCTACAGGGCAGCCCTGCAATGCAATCCTCAGCACTTTAGCCCTCATTGCCTATGATCCTGAGTACCCCTGACAGCACTCCTTGCATCTGCTCTCCTCCCCCTCAAATTCATTCTTCACATAGAAGCCACTGTGATCTCATCAAAATAATATCACAAAACAAAACAAATAAACAGGGAATTCCTTGGCAGCCCAATGGTTAGGACTCAGAGCTTTAACTGCTAGGATCCTGGGTTCCATCCTTGGTCAGGGAGTTAAGATCCCGTAAGCCACACAGAGCGGCCGACAAATAAGAAACCAAGCAGCCACCAGGTCCTCCTGCCCTCTGCTTTAAGCCTATTAATGCTTCCCACTGCACTTAGAATAAAATGCCCCGTGCCTTATTATGACTGGACAAGCCGTAATGAAGCTCAGGTCAGCTTCCAGGACTCTGGACTTAATATTCTTTCTATCTCCACATCTTGAAAAGACGTTCATTTATATCCTTTAGATCTCTCCTTAGATGTCCCCCATCTCACCCCTAAAATGCTATCACCAGTACATTAGCTTCCAGAGGGCAGGGATTTTGTTCTGTACCCTCACCTCCCCCCACCACACACACACACACACACCCAGCATCTGACATAGGGCCTAGCACAGAGTATGCATTCTCCACATGTGATGAACAAATAACTAAAAAGAAAACAGAATAGGCAAATCCATAGAGAAAGGAAGTAGATTAGTGGTTGCCAAGAGGCAGGGGGTAGGGGATAGCAGGGAATAGAGAATGGCTGCTGAAGGGTACAGTTTATTTGGGGGGGAGGGGATGAAAATGTTCTGGAATTAGGTAGTGATGATGGTTGCACAACTCTGTGAATATACCCCCCCAAAAAAACACCAACACTGAAATGCACACTTTAAATGGATGAAATGTATGGTACGTGAATTGTATGGTATGTGAATTATGTCTAATAAATCTGTTACATTTTAAAACAGAAAGAACAAAGAAAGGAGGGAGGGAGAGAAAGCAGGCAGCAGTAGGGACAAAGAGGAAGAGAAGGGCAGAGAGGGAAGAGAGAGCGGAGCAGTACTCAGGCTTCAGGTTAATACCTGCACTCTGTGAGCAATTAATGAAATCTATGAATATGCTCACATTTCTGAAACCTTTACATGAGTCTCTCTGGTTCCTGGGAATCACTCTTGGTTCAGTATGATTGTTTTCTTAAAACCCTAGAATGTAACCTAGTATAAATAGTCAAAAGAAAAATAAAATAATTATTTTTTGAAGAAATCAAATGCTCCACATGGATTAACAAGAACAAAGATTTTGCAAATGTCTTCCTTTGGAAAAAACAAGTTCCCACATCAAGAAGACTAAGAGTGTAACTAAAGGCCAAGTGATCATTTTCTGGCTTAAAAACATCTGAAGATAATCACCTTTGCAAGACCCGCTCGATGGGCTCCTTTAGATTCCATGTATGCGAGGTATCTGTTGAACTCCCGGAATTCCTCCATGGTGGGTCTGAAGGTCATGATCTTACAGCTGGGGTTGAGTGGACTCTCCACCTCGGCCACCTCCATGATGGCTGGAGCAGTCTCTACAGAGAAGATGATGAGGGCATCAGTGCTGAGTTTCTGTGTGGTAAGGTCGGTAAATAGTGGGTAAGCTTCCCTAGCAAAAACTCTTTTAGTTACTTACCATTCCCTTCTACCACCCTGTTAGTGAGACTCCCTCATCTCTCCCCGGACTCCTGAAAAGAAAAACTGTCTCTAGTTAATCCTCCTCCCAAGCTCCTACTGCTGGCGTGAAATCGCTGACCTGATTACATTGGTCTCCTCCTCAGAGTCCTTCCTAGAAAGAATGAACTTTCTAACTTTGCAAGTTTCCGGAACCCAGCTCTGAAACAGACGCTCACCTATGTATCTATGGAAAGGCCTGGTGCAGGCTGAGCAGTAAATGGATAATATTCCACATGTCCAGCACAGAGCCTACTCAGGCGTGCTTCAAGTCACCATGATATGCTTTCCTGTAATAACTTACAGACCAGCCCCCATCTGCAAAACCACCAGACACCAGGCTAAAGTGCTGGAGGCACAGTATAGGAGGTTGTACAGTACAAGAGTAAAGAAAGGTTGTCTTCCACGCTGACTATCTGGAGGCCAAACAAACTTCAATACAAAACTATACACAGGAAGAGGTAACTGACTCCATCTGAGTTACTCAGCAATGATTTCCCTGGAAAGAGGCAGAATTGGGCCTTATGAGAAGGTGCAAAGAAGTCTGTCAGATGAGAGAAAGAGCATCTGAGGTGGTGGAAATATCTGAAGTCTGCAGAGATGGAGAAGGGAGGTTAGCTAGTCTGGAGCTCAAGAAGAAAAGATTCAGGAGATCAAAGTAGAAAAGTAGGTAGTAGTAGCACTGTGAAAATGCAGACTTAATCCTGCTGTCAAAGAACAGGGTGATTCTTCCACAAACACCTACTGAACACCTACTATGTGCCGGGCAAGGGAACTCCATGTGCCCACCATGTGCCGTGATGAGGAGCATGGGCGCGCATGCCTCAGGAAGGAGTCCCGTACATCCCACCTATACATACAGCGACAGCGCCTGGCATCTGACAGCTCAAACACCTAATCCTCTCAGAACAAAACTTTCCTTTTCTCATTTTTTTAATAATAAATTCAATTTGCCTGACAAAAAGAGGAAGTGGGAAATGAGAGATGCGGTAAATAAAGGGGAAGCATGCAAGGGGATAGGAGGTTGTAACAGTTCAGGGCTACATTATCATCATGCACTGAAGGTTTAAATCAGCCTCTATCTCACAAAGTGTATGTGAAGAAAATGAGCTACTCCAGAATTAAACCCTGTCACCCTTCAGGAATTTATATTCTAAACTAGAAGATAATCTGCATGGAGATATATTAATACCTAACAAAATATTCTGTATTCCCCCTGCCCCAGGAAGGAGGCATGCAATTTAAAAGCCTTCCAGGCCACCTCACCTGGTGATGAGAATGGCAACCCACTCAGGTATTCTTGCCTGGAGAATCCCATGGACAGAGGAACGTGGCAAGCTAAAGTCCATGGGGTCACAAAGAGCTGGACACGACTGAGCAACTTCACTTCACTTTCAGGCCACCTCCCCTGGAGAAGGAAATGGCAACCCACTCCAGTATTCTTGCCTGGAGAATCCCATGGACAGAGGAACGTAGCAAGCTAATGTCCGTGGGGTCACAAAGAGCTGGACACAACTGAGCGACTTCACTTCACTTTCAGGCCACCTCCCCAGCCCTGTCCCTTCAGGTGCACAGGCCCAAATCCCTGGGCTGCAGGACCGAAGTCCCACCTCTACACAGGATACATAGAACCCTTTAGAAGCATCCAGATCAGGCCCCTTGCAAGAACTATCATGGCCATGTCCATCATCACAGCCTGCATTATACAGTGCGTGAGCGCTAGGTCACTTCAGTCATATCTGACTCTTTGCAGCCTACATGGGCTACATGCAGTCCCCTGTAGCCTGCCAGGCTCCTCTGCTCATGGGATTTTCCAGAAACAGACAATGGAGTGGGTTGCCATGCCCTCCTCCAGGGGATCTTCTCGACCCAGGGATCAAACCTGCCATCTCCTACACAAGCGGGCAGGTTCTTTACCTGCTCAGTAGCCACTTGGGAAAACTCACATTTTATATTATGCTTCAATAAGACTCAGTGATTTGTGCTTCTCTAAACAAGTACAGCTCTCTACGCCCTTGCCCAAATTATTCCCTCCTATTGGAGCAGTGTTTACTGATTTCCTCACCTGGCAAACTCCTGTCCACTGCTGAGATTCCCAAACCTCGGGGGCAGGCCTAGGTGAGCCACCCTGTGTGTCTGGGCCTCCCTCTCTGCATCCCTCTTACATCAGCTGCCTGTCCCAGTGGCACCTGCAACCACACACTGAACTCCAAGCTCCTCAAGGGGAAGGCAGGTTCTCCACCTCTTTAAGCCCAGGTGTTTAGTCTGGTACCTGGCCTGGCTCATAATATCTGCTGCAATAACTATTTGCTAACTGAATGACAGAATAAATGTCAACATGTTACTAAAGGATTTACACTAAATGATACCAAATGTGGAAAAAAGGAAAGCATTGGTACCTAATGTGGAAAAGTTACTTAGAAAATAGAAATCATTTAACTGGTAAAGAGTAATAGAATATAAAAATCTGAGCAGTGAGAAAGGAGAAGCCCCTACAGCACCTCTGTAGAAACATCTGGCACTTGAAAGGCAGCCTTACTTTGCCACAGATGAAGAACAAGGGTGGCCCTGCCCCCTTCTCTAGGCAAAAGGCTTGAGAAACTGCTAAAGGAGAAACTGGAAATTCAACTGATCATTCAACTAGGTCCTAAGTGCCTGACTGGTAGGCAGACATTCAAGATGGAATGAAACAAAACACTAACAGTAGTAGGGGGAGAAACAGATGATAAATAAGTAACAGTGCTATGAAGAAGTAAACCAGGGTAGGGCACAGGGTGCAAAGAGGAGAGGAAGCTGCTTCACACGGGGTGGGCGAGGGAAGCCTTTCAGAGGTCTGAAGGAGGCAACAAACCATGAGATATCTGGAAGAAGAGCATTTAAGGCTGAAGCAAGTGTAAGAAGCCTCTTGGGCTCTTCAAAGAACAGCAAGAAGTAGTGTGGTGAGACTCCCCTGGTGGTCCAATGGCTAAGACTCCACACTCCCAGTGGAAGGGGGCCAGGGTTCAATCTCTGGTTAGGAAACTACATGCTGCAACTAAAGGTCATGCATGCCACAATTAAGACTCCTATGCAGCCAAATAAATAAATATCTTTATTTTTTTATTTTTACTTTTTCTTAATAAATATTTTTTTTTAAAAAGAAGAAGTGAGTGTGGTAAGCAAGGAAGAAGAATGTAAGAGAGGCGGTGGGGGCAAGCGTGAGAGGGGAGAAAAGGAGTTTGGTGTTTACTATGAGTGAGATGAGAAGTAACCTTGAGCTTCTTCCCCTTCTTGTACCTCATGTTCTGGATACTCTAACATGCACTTCCCACCAAGGAGACAACACTTTTTTCTAAGATAACTGCTCTGGAGGATGTTAAGCAGAGAGGTGAGTCTGGCTGTTGTATCAAAAAAGGACAAGGTTGGAAGCATGGAGGCAATTTACATGAACCCAGGCAAACTAAAACGGAGACTTGGACCAGGGGTGGGCAGTGAGGACTGGTCAGATTGCAGATCTATTCTGAACAAAATTTGTGACGTAAGAAACAGAGGAGTCAAGATTTTTGACAGAAGGACTCTGACAAGGAACTGAAGTGATGAGACTGTTAAGATGCGCAAGTTTGTAACAATCAGAATTAAACCTCTGCCTTGACCTAGTTTGCTAACTGGTCTGTGAAATAAACTTTGCTTCCTTCTAATGTCACTACTCCTGACTACACAAAACTAGTTCTACCTCTAAATCAGGAACATATACAAAAGACCTAATCAGTTTACATTTAGACCTTTTCAATCTACAGAGTTAATGTACAATGTGACAAACTTTAAAACATTAAAGTATTTTAAGATTTAATGTTAATCCCACCACCCAAATTTTTACTAATATGACAGTTTAAAAAGTCTGGTGCTAAGTTTCATTTCTTTGATTACTAGTGATATTGATCATTTTTGGACATGTATAACCATTTTCATTTGATTTGGGGATTGCCTACATACATTCATTACCCTTAAAAGTTAGTTTATAAATATTCTGTTCCTTGAGTTTTTTCTAATCCATCTTTATCATTATTAAACTTATTAATGTTGCTAGAACCAAATCATGTTATTATTAATCAATGCTATTAATAAAATCATGAACGATATTATTGATCAATCAAATAATGTTGCCAGCCCCTCTTCTCCTTTACCTTTATTTCTCTGAGCCAAGCAGAAAAGGTTTAAAATGCTCTTGCAATAATGCTTTATAGTTGGAGAATGACTTATATTTTACAAAAACATCTCTATGATTTTCTGCTGAGGGTGATGCAATAGTCATTTTTTAATGCTACATCTCTATAGAGACTGAGTCCCCCAAGTGAGTGACTACAGTATCTGTGATGATAACTTTGTTATTTTGCTTCTACAAAGCTGGCCTTCAATGTTTTTAATACCAATCAATCCAAATAATCATATTTATAGTAAGTACCCTAAGAACTTTTTTAAAGAAATAAAGATATTTCTCATCAAGTAAAAAACAACTCTAACACTAATTCATAATTACATAATTGGCCCAAGCCTCTTTCCTGAAAAATTTTACCTTAACATCTACTCTCCTTATTCTCATAATATATCTCTATTTGGTAATAAAAAAAGAAACTAAGGCTGATGTTTTCCTGCTAAATGTCAATCTGTAGCCCATACTGCTTTTGATATATACACCTGTATTTTTGACCTGCGTCCTGTTGTTGAAACAATTACTAGGAAAAGAGTAAAAACCGATGGCTCTCACCACGGGAGTACTAGTTTCTTAGACAACGCCTGCCACAGAACCGGTTTACAGTGAAGAGAACACCTGGGGATCTACTATAAAGCACCACCCCCCAGGAGGCAGAGCACGCACTAGTCA